TTTCCTCCTGTATGTTCTACATGACATTTTAAGCTTCCCTTTATCAACTGGTGTGATTAAAGACTTATCAAATTAAGTATAATGATTGCTATAAGTTATAACATAATGATTAGAGATTACTTAGTGTTTGAATATTTTTCATATACATTTAGAAGTCTTTTGGGATTTATTGGAACCTTATAAGTGATAACTGGAGGCACTGTGCACAGTTGTAATTTATTTAATCGTTGAATATCCAGGGGGATTACACAACTCAGGGCCAAACTCATCAGATATAAACCATGAACGTGTTTTCACACAATTAATTGCATATCAGATATCATAAAATATTAAGAAGGCAAACAATCACCCAATATTTAATTTAGTAAATTGCTCATGCATCATGAATAGTGAGGAATGGCAATAGGTAATGAAATATAAATTAATATAGTCTAATCATGGAAATTCATAAATAATAGTGAACAGCAAAAAAATATAATACAAATAAGTTGTATTTTTCTGAATTTGCACATAAAAGTAATAAGCATGCTTAAAGCTTAAATGTTGGTTGTTAAAGGGACATGTTAGGTACCATAACAAGCACAGCACGCTGTTATAGTTATGGTATCAGGAGTCCCCAGACACTGTACCACTGCTAAAAGTTATATATATTTTTTTAATGGTTAGACACTTACCTGGGATTCCAAGAATCTCACTATCCAGACCCTCTTCATAAATATTGTGAATGCTTTCCTACTGCTTTAGCAAAATCAGTTTTATCTAAAATGAATGAGAATGATCTGCTTACACTCTCAGCCAATTCATTATACTCAAAGACAGATAAAGCTTATATTGTTAGTGTGAAAGTATGAACATATATATCTAAAATATCTGTTCAGAGGCAACAGACATGGCCCTCTGGTAGGACCCAGGTAGGTGTCAAACCATTAAAAAACAGTTTGACTCAAATGAACAGATGAATGTTGCACCATGGCACCATAACTATGAGAGTGAGCTGTAATGGTTATGCAACTTAAAGTATTTAGAGGTTAGTGTGGGTTGTATATAAAAGGAAAACAGGACGAGTTACATCATGTTTGGTCCTTGAAACATACTGAAACATCAGTTCTCAGTGCATTGACTCAAAGCAGGATTAAACATAAGGCAACCCTAGGCACTAAAGTGAGACAGGGGTCCCTGGAGAACCATGAGAATGCCTGACCCCATTCCTTATCCTGATACAACAAATGAAGGGGGCCCCAAACTAGTAACCCACCTAGGGCCCTTTACATTGCAATCCTTCTCTGCTTTTAGGAGGCTAGGGTCCTGATGTACTGAGGTTAGTACGACATTAAACAAACAGATTATTCAGAGTTAATGTACAGACATTCATGGTCAAAATCGTTCAAGACATGACAAAGATATTTCAAGAGCTTTTAAATTATTGGAAAATGGGATTTTTATTTCTCCAAGCTTATATCATATTTTCGCAGCTTCACAGAAAAGGGCTGTTCATTCACTTTAATTTTCTGAATTGAAAACAGAATTCAATATTTAGACAGGAGTGGAAGTGAGCATACTATTAAAGTAGTGCAGTTTTCCAGAGAAGTAGATATGAAGAAAGATGAACGGTGTATCAGAATTTAAGAATTAACCATTTAGGTCCCCTTAAAACATGACAATAATAGGTTGTAATTAATTGCAGTTTAATAATAGCTTATTTAAAGATATATGTCTGAGATCCAGACGTAGAAAAAAAATTGAACTGGGGAAGCACCTAAAACATGCATTTCTAAGTTGTGGTACTGTCGTAAAGACCAAAATATATACAAAATACAGTTAAAGGAACAGCACAAAAATACAGTTTTAAATGTTCTAAGGCTACCTAAAATCACCTATCTTAGCAAACAAATATTGGGATTCAATACCACCATATGGCCATTTTGTCTTAAGCCCACCATTACGTCACAGTCCCCAATATCGGTGTGTCCTACACTAATTTGGCAGGTTTACAGTGTAACTTGCAATACTTACTGCTTAAACTGCTTCCAGAGACTCCTCAATTTATGCTTTCCTGTGGTCACCTCCAAAGGGGCACCTAGAATGGATGGGTGGGGTGCTCAGCCCAATAGGAATCTGGTCTGGAATCCATATCTACACAAAAGATGGGAATTGAAGGCGCTCTTAGAACATGCATTTCTAAGTAGTTGTGCTGTCGTAAAGACCAATATATATACACAATACAGTTAAAGAAACAACACACACAAAAACACTACTTAACATCTCCTATCTTAGCAAATAAATAGGGGGATTTAATTACACCATATGGTCATATTGGGCTAAGCCCACCACTACGTCACACTACCCAAATATCGGTGGGTCCTACACTAAGATCCAGGTAGAGACAGTACATACTCAATCTGCATTTCATGTGCAATTTTTTTCTTCCAGACTTTAATAGAAGTCTAAACAAGATTTTTTTAAAATTTTTACCAATAAATAATGAAGCTTCTAAGTTCCTTATTGAGAGGTTATGAAACATGATAGAAATCCACTGCAATACACACACTAATTGGATTTATGGTTTATCAATTACTTGGGTGATGTTACATTACCACTTACAAGAGACAGCTAAGAATGTGTAATTTAACTTTTCAGTTTAAAATAAATGTTGGTCTAATTGCTGTTACCACCCCAATTTAGCTGAGTTTTATAAATTATACCAAATGATAAGACTTAAAATCAATATAGTATGCTTCTGCTGCATCTATCAAGCTATAAAAACAAGCTGCAATCCGCAGCCTCTTCCAATCATTTCCTCCATGATGGATGTAAATGTCATGAATTAATCAATAGCCATCAGCAAGTTACACTGAATTGCACTAAGTGGAGCAGAGCAAAGCAAAGATAGACAAAGTGGTCACATAACCAGCATTGCAGGTTCAAGCCATGTGGAAGACGGCTGCTAAATAATTTCTTAAAACATTGATAAAAAACATGGATGAAGGTTAGGTGATTTTTGCACACTATCAAAAGCAATACTGAATAACTTGAAAATATCTAATATTTATTTTGTTAAATAGTATATAAAAATGTTTTTTGTTCTGTCAGTTAGCAGAACCTCATTTCAGAATGGGTACTATTCTGCAAAACCCCACTTTAGCATTGAGAGGCAGACATGGGGCCATTGCCTGCTAGCCCAGAAACCATAGAGCAGCTATTAATGGGACATTGCAAGCACCATAACCACTACATTGCACTGTTTAATAATACTTTGACTTCTTAACTAAGGTTGCAAGGCAACACTCTCTGCCTCCTCTCACCGTCCAGGAGAACCAAAATATCTAGCTAGGAGCTTCTGTTAGCTCTCCTGAGTGCAGAGCCAGCTCATTGGCTGAGATTATTAGCTGATCACTTTCAGCCAGTGAGCTAGGCCATGCACTGCTGGACTTAGTTTAGAGCTAAGAACTTCAGCTGAGTCAAGGCAAGGAACAGCACCTGTTATTGTAGAAGAGCTCAGTACTGAGGCTGAGTGCCTCAGTTATAGTTTTTGTATTCCAGGAGAAAATCATGCTTCATTAATTACCGGTATATCTCCCCACAGATACTAGATGACACATAGTGCTGGGGACAAGTACCCATAAGTGAGTACACTATTTTTCTGATTTTGATTTAAAAGTATTGAAAAGTGGTTTAACGAAGGTCATCAATATATCTGCAATAGTGGACCAGATTCGCACTCCAGCCTTGTGCCCCTGAGAGGAAAGATTCCTCCCAGTGGGACATAAAAAGGTTTGCATAGCTTGGTGTAAATCTGGTCCCCATCGCAATGCCGAACAGTTGTAAAAAAAAACCTTCAAACTAAAAATAATTGTGGCATTTATAAATCAAAATCAGAAAAATATTGTGAGTGTAGTAAAGCCAAGGTGCATTTTATTAGATTTAGAACTTTATATAGAGGATCATCATATTAGAATACAAATATTTTGTAATAAGGTTGATGCTAATAGTTTTATTGACATCAACAGCTGTCACTATGCACCTTGGCTTCAAAACATCCCAAAAGGTCAATTGTTAAGAATTTTAAGAAAGTGTAGCAACACGGATGAATTTGTTTTACAAGCTAATTATTTAAAGGATCAGTTTTTAGCAAAGAACTACAACTCTACATTTTTAGAAAAGCAATTACAGGAAGTTAGTAAATTAGATAGAAATCCAATTTTGAATAATAAGAAGGACGATTTGAAAAATAAGAATATAAATAATTTTAACCAAAAAGGCATCCCAATTATCTTGGATTACTTGGATTACTATAGTCAGTTGAGACAGATCAAACACATTTTAAATAAATTCTGGCATGTTTTAAAAACGGTTCAAGACCTCATTGGTAAAATTGGTAATAAACCCAATATTATTTATCGAGGTGCGAAAAAACATCAAAAGTGACTTGGTCAGAAATTTTATTAAACCAGCTAAAACTATGTTCTCTTTTAATCAGAAAAATCACTTTTACCCATGTAAGATATATTCGGGTTGTAAAAAAAATCAAAATTTTCAAAAGAAACCAGAACATCTTTTAAATCTAGGGTAACGGGACAAAGCTGGCCCTCTATCTCCTTTTTACAAGATACTTATTCATTGGTCTTTTTATTCACTTATTTCTGCACTATTTAACAGTATATCATGTGCATATTTATTGATGTTATTGATTTATTTTTTTGTTTATATTTTGAGGACTTTATTTGCCCTTATTTAATATGGGACTTGTGGTTAATTTCTGCCCTTACTTGAAGAAATCAAATCCAGAAGTGATGCAACCATGATTATGTTCATGTCACGTGTCAGGCGCTGCACTATGATGCACATCTGCCGCGCCAGAAACAGGAAGTGATATCATTGATTCAGAAACAGGAAGTGGCACAGCCAGGCTAAATCAAACACTAATTTCAACAGTATTTATTCGGACATCGGAGAGTGCAATACAGCACTGAGGAAGACTCCAGTTGGAGTTAAATACTCAGTGCAATACAGCACTGAGGAAGACTCCAGTTGGAGTTGAAACTCCAACTGGAGTCTTCCTCAGTGCTGTATTGCACTCTCCGATGTCCGAATAAATACTGTTGAAATTAGTGGTTGATTTAGCCTGGCTGTGCCACTTCCATATACAGCGTTTGCTGTTTCATTTTGGGACTCTATTTGTCCCTCCTATTTTTTATTTTATTTTTAATTTGTACCCTAATACATTGGTGTTTACATTTACTTGAAGTCTCCTGCTACTCTCCTTCAAGAATACCATGCAAGCCTGTACAGGCACCATGAAGCCCATTATATAGAACCTGGGATGGCTCTATATCCTGTAAGTTTATTCTATTTTAGGGGCCTGGTGTCTATATTTTACACTGTTTGCACTATGTATTTTACCTTAGTTTTTTTAGAATATTCCGGATTTGGATCTTCTACGTTATCCACGTTTCTCTACATTTGGTGTAGTATTGTTATTTTTATTCTATTTATTTCCTGGTGTTGGGGGATACACTATAACTACACCAGTGTGTAATTATTTGATAGGTAGCACCTACACACCACTATACTTTTTTATTGTCACAAACAGTAGTTTATATAAGGGGTCGCACACAAGAACAATTGGTTACTGATCTGGTGCCTCTAAGTCTGGGAAATAAACTAATTAAAAAACGCTCATTGTATTAAGTCCCAAAACACCAGGGTGGCCAAATAATACAACAGTGACAAAAAAAATAATCTTTTAACATATTTCCCATATACAAATTATACATCACTGGGCAGGTCTCATTACCCAAGTAAAGTATCCAAAAAACACACGGATCCGATGTGCCAAGTCCAAGAAATCGTCAAATGAAGACTGACCAAGCAATCATAGCGATCCGGCGTGGAGGCTGCCTTGGCTAAGTGCTAGTCACTGAAATTAACTGTTTTTCATGTGCAGAGAGAGGGGCTTCCCCTGACTCTTAGGTAGCACTTCTCTCTCCTCTAACTCTTAAAAAAGCAGCCTTGTAGCTGTTAAATTCACAGAGTAAAACCATCCATTAGTTTCACTGGACAGCCATGTGAGACTAGGCCAACTCTGAGTTCCACCGATATTCCAGGAGCGCATGGTCCTGGCCTCATAAAAAACAGTTTTACAGGTTGCTCTTGGAGCGCTCAACATTGTGGACACTAGGAGAGGCATAGAGGGGCCAGGGGGTGATCTAGTGTTTGTTGTAGAGTGTGTAAATTGGAGTCCTGCTGGCCCAGTGCAGGCTCCACCACAGTTATTAAATGGGATGCTGTAGACACTCTTGGCACGATGACCACTATGGTGTGCAATAGTTATGGTGCTTGGAGTGCTATTATGATGTTTAACTCTGCAAACCTCCCCTTTCACTGCTACAGCACAATTATTTGGATCATGTTGTGAGTGTACATAAATCGTAATGAAATCCCTCAGTTGTTTTGTGTTGTTTTTCTACTTTTTTGCAATATACAAACTAACATTTTCAAGTAAGTATACAGCTGTCTTAAGGGCTGCCAAGCCTCAGAATTTATTGATGTCTGTCTAGACTTCCTGGCAGATTATCCTATCTTTTGTAAAATAGTGAGACAAAACCAATCTCTCTGTTTGCTATATGGCTTAAATAAGTTCTGAAAATAACCGAAAGAAATCCAATTAGAATATATATATTTTTTTAAAAGATGAAACTAATCAACTATAAACCAGAGGAAGCCGCACAAAACAATTTTGTTTTCATGATGAAGCCTCTTTAAGTACGACTTTCCAGCTAAGGTTAAATCAGATATCATCTTCAGTTTAAGACATTTCTATGGTAAACTAACCACAATTGCAAAACAGTGATGTTGATGCAACATATCCGTCACCTACGGTGATTTTAATGGAATTAAATTAATTGTGTGCTTGTTCATTTTACGGTTGTTTCTGTGTGTCCAGCTTGAGTTAACATTCTATACGCTGCCAGTTCATGCATATTCATATTTGTATTTTACATCTCTCTCAAAATAGATATATCCGTATCAGCATGAATTAAAAAGAAACAATTGAATAGATTAGCTTGCATAACTGCCAAAATACAAATAAGCAAAAAAAAGAGAAAAAAAACCACCGGCGCTAGCACAAACATTAAATATTTAACTGAACTTAAAAATAACAAACCAATAGCGTATTCACTTAGATAGCATAGATGTAGAACTGTCTGAATAATGATTTCTTTAGAGTTTATTGTTAGAACCAACTTTTGAAAGGTCTCCAAGATAGCAATGAATTAAATGAAAAGTGAGGTCACGTGACCTTCAAAAAATATTTATAAATATATACAGGGGGACGACGATACATAAAAGTGAAATGTGTAAAAGATTATAGAAAATATAATAAAATAATGTCATATCATTTATGGTTTGGGCTACACCTTGTGTACTATTCGTATCTCTTCAAGGAGAAGGTTTTTGTCAGATCCCTAGTCAAACAGGGCTTGTTTCCACTGTTATTAGTAAGCTTTATGAGTCTCAAAGGATAACCTTGGGTGCTATGTACAATACTGTGAACAGTTTGCTAAACAGTATGTATTGCATTAACACTGTATATATTTCTATAAGGGTATCATATCCCCCTGTACCATCTTTTTTTAACAAGTAAATCATTTCAGTTTTTTTCAGTCCATCTTTACACCTTTTGTAATTAATTAATATTGTTAAAAAATATTGTTTAAAAAAATGGTGCCCACATTTGCACAACATGTTCAATTTGGGGTCTTACCATATATTTATAAGAAGGCACAATAATAGTTTCATCACAAAAAAATGTCCTTATGCAAGAAAGTGCTTTACTGGCCTTTGCAGCTGCCGACTGGTATCACATATTTTTGCCTAGTCTATTATCTATAACCAGGGCCAGATTAACAGCCCAGTGGGCCTGATGCTGACTTATGATGGGCCTAATTACAGAATCGTATCGACCAAAAACACTAAAACACTCCCAAGCATCAAGTATCTGATGGAGATGGTTCTGGAGGGAAAGAAAACAGCAGCTATAAGAAAACACATACTTTATGCTAATCTATCTCTAATTTATGTTTTCATCTTTCAAGTAAATCCATAACCCCTAACAGCAGTATCCAGTCAAGCAGGAAGTCAATGGGTGCGGTAAAAGGGTGTGCCACTGAAACAAATCACGTAACATGCCAGAAGGGGCGAACATGCCCAAAAAGAGGGCATGTCTGCCCAAAGAATTGGAAGGCCAGCCTGGCATGAATACATGTCAGGCTGCCTGCCAATCATGCAAGCTGGCCAGCTAAGGGCATACTATGCAGACAGCACCCTGAGCTTGGCATAAATGCCAAGGTCTCCCAGTGACCCTATGTATCACAGTGTCCCTATGTATCACAGTGTCTCAATGCCCCATTTCTCCCTGTGTCCCCCAGTATTCCCATGTGTCTATTTCCCCATGTCTCCCATGGTCCCCATGTCACAAGGACACTAGGAACATGGGGAGACCTGGGGAGATGGGGAGACCTGGTAACACGGAGACATCAGGGACACTGGGAGACTAGGGGACACTGGCTGGGACACATGGGGACACTGGGAAAAGAGGTGACACTTGAAGACATCAGGACACAGACACTAGGGACACTAGCTGGTGAGACATGGGGACATTGAGACATTTGGGGCACTTGGAGACATAAGGTACACAGACACTGGGAGACTAGGGAACACTGGGAGACTAGGGGGCACTGGGAGACATGGGGACACTGAGACACCAGGGACACTGGCTGGGAGACATAGGGACACTGGGAGACATAGGGACACTGTGTCCCCAAGTGTCTGTGTCTCCCAATGTCCCCATGTGTCTCTGTGTCCCCAAGTGTCTGTGTCTCCCAATGTTACTTAGTGTCTCAGTGTCCCCATGTCTCCCAGTGTCCCCAAGTGTCTGTCATAATGTCTCCCAATGTCCCTTAATGTCTCTGTGTCCCCATGTCTCCTTTAAGCCTTTCCCCCCATCCCTCACTTGCATGAGCTGTAGGCTATCTCTGCACGGTGGGAGTTTCTGTCTGGACTCTCTGTAGCTGCTCCCCTGCGGATCAGTGAGTAGAGATAGGCAGGGAGGAATATGCTTGAACTTCCTATCCCTGCCTCTCTCCACACACAGCGACTCCTACTGGCCAGTGCTGGTATTGCATTGTAATCTCTGTTTATACTGAGAAAAATACCATCATTTGTATTGCCAGTATTACTGCAATATCGGCACCAGCAAGGGCAGCCTCAAATACTGGCTGTGCCAATAAAATAAAAGCCTGGTGGAAACCCTAAGAGTAGTGTGTACTTTTTTTTTTTTAAATCAATGGGCCTATTCCATGGGCTTGGAGCTGCAGCTCCATCAGCCCCCATGTTAATCTGGCCCTGTCTATAACTATTCCTTAGTCTTTCTCTTGACTCAATTCCATTAAAGGTATAAGTTACATGTGGTTTCCTCAACCTAAAGAATGCATACTTGCTGTGGCGAAACCGGCCTCGCCACGTGTCCTTGTAGGGAGCTGCTTGCCCGCCTCTTGCCTTTGGACTATGGACCAGACTTTATGTGAATGTGTTAACCCAGATAGCTATGCCATGGAGCCCATTCGTGTAGTTAAAGACTTCGGCTCCATGGCAATTGAACTGTGTGAATAGGATCTGAGCGCTCTTCGGTAGTTTTGTGCGCTCAGATCCCAGCTATCTGGGGATATGTGAAATGTCTGTATGTTATGTGTAAAAGGTGACTTTATGTATTTTAAAGTGTTTTATGTCTTTTTGCAACCATGTGCTCAATGGAGTCTGCCTCTATCCCTGGATAATTGGATTACTTTCCCCCATTGTCTCCAGGATAGAGGGCTCTGTAAAACCTGTTTGAGCCAGATAGCCATGTGCCAGCCAGAGCCCAAAAGATACTTTTACTAACTTTTGAACCCCTGGTCGGATTCATGCCATTTTTTTAATATGTTGTTCCCCTGAATGGATTGATTGTGAATATGTAATTATGTGAATGTGATGTATGGTTTTAAAGTTATGAAAGTTGGGTAGAAAGTATGTTTTA